TAAAATGCCGCTTGGGTATATGTTGTAGTTAATTCCATGAAGGAGAGTGCTCACGAAGCCTAATCTCCTGTAAACCCCTCTTCATTCCAATGACCATATTTTTCCCCCTTACACTTCCTCGTTTCATTTCTCTTCCTAACAATAGAATGTTTAATTTATTCCTCCTTAAATAGATTCAAGGGTTTTGGCATGACACTTTCGTCAGACACAAGTTAGCAACATTAATACTGCTCTTACATCTTCGGATTCGAACCCTGTGGCTAGGGCAATCCCCAAGTCATCCCAATACGTACCGCACTAAAGAAGAACACTGATTTATTGTGAGGAGATCGTCAGGTTGTGAAACGTTTCAATTAGACCACTTTTCATTTACCTCCTTTTCCAAAACTCTAAATCACGTTCATGTTGACCGAATATCCATTTTCAAAGCGCTAAGGTGCCCCGAAGCTCAAAGTCACAAGAAACGGAACTGCTTCTGGCTCTACCAAATGACCTGTTACCCGTCTTTACCGTTCCTGCTCCACTTCGACCTCAACTGGTTTAAGAAACTGAACTTTCTTCGGCTTTCCTGCAAATAGCATGTCCTGTCCTGTTCTGCCACGGAAACTGAGAACGAAAGAACGGTTCACAGGACTTTTGGTGGAACCAGAAGCAGTTCGGGTTCTTGTGCCAGCGAGCTTCAGTTCAGTTCAGTTTGCACAGAACAGAAAATTTTCCCAGCCAATAGAGCGTCCGGAATTATTTCGGCGGTACGCGATGAAGTATGCCACACACTACTGCGAAAAGTAGTCCGTAACTTCTTGCCTGGAAAGAAAAAAAGTAATGGAAAGATACCTCATCTCACCTCTAAGGCGAGAGATTGTTATACGCGAGCGTTTATCTTCCAGACTGTATTCCAGCAAATGGCGGCCGCCGCCGTGAGGCGTTTTCCGTACCCGGCTCACCGTGACGCCGGATCAGAAGAAACCTTGGAAACCATTAGGATCCGGGACCATTGGGCTTAGTCTCGCACCCGTGTATTACTTCATGACTTCAAGACTTCAGAGTTACACTGCAATATTTCATGAAGAACTATAGAGAACCCTCCCATGGCGTAAACTTCCTACCAAACTTTCTCTCCTTTACCAGTTTTTCGGCCACCAATGTTGCATAGGTGTTGCAGGTAGTGCCGGTAACCCGTTGGAATTCGCAGAATTATTCCAAGACGTCATCAAGCAATCCGTAGCAATGTTAGACATTCTTTCAAAAATCCACTGTATCACTAACGTGTGCCATAGTTGGTATGACCATATAAGTAACCACCAACATTGTGTGGCAGTATTTATAATTTACGGATATAGTAAAATAAGGTTATTTAGATCAAATTCAATTTTACCAAACGACAGAAATTGAACCAGAATCAAAATATGATCAAACCCAGCTTACTTCAACATCACTTTTGTGAATTAAACGTCCGAATAGCAGGCTTTTGTGAGATCTCGTAGTTGGGATGTCACGCTGCTACCGACACGGAGCCTCGACTTCAGCTTTTACAAGTGTTCGGCTAGTAGATATGTACTGGAGCAGTTATCATATGTCGGCGTTATTTATTATTTGGACCATAAATATACTTTTTACTTTCGTTTCGTGTTTTGAAGTTCGAGTGAATTCATTCAATTTGTTTGGTTGTATCAAATGCTTATCATTTGATTGCATACTCTTACGAAACTCGTTATGCGTTTGTACGCTCTGCTTTTGTTGATTGTTCTCTCGCTCGCCGAAGCCAGAGACTCAGGTTCGGTTCATTGATAAACCTAATATTATGAATTAAAGATTTGCTGGTTATAACTGTAGCTACTGAACATAATGATGCCTTAGAAAGATTTTTGCGGTCCGCCGAAATTTACGAATATGATGTAAAGGTATGTGATCAGCAGAAATCTTCAGGCTTTAAGGTTCTTGGAATGGGTGAAAAATGGGTTGGCGGGGATGTTGCAAACACCGTTGGAGGCGGTCAAAAGGTGAAACTTTTAAAGCGCGAGTTGGAGTCTATGAAGAATGAAAAGGACCTGCTGGTATTGTTTGTTGATAGGTGAGCAAAGCTTTTGTGTTTTTCGTTTTTACTTTATGCCGATCCACTTTTATCACTCTTCCACTTTTGAAGTTATTGTGATTACTAGATTCTCCCTAAACTAATAATGATCATAATACACTGATCGATCAGTGTATTATAATTATAATTACGATACTACAGCCTTTACGGGAACATCTCAGAGATGTATCCTCCTGATGTTTCAAAATGAACGCTCCAAATGAGCCGATAAGGTTTATGATAAATACCGTCTACCCAGTCTACACAGCCGTCTAATTCGAGTCCTATCGGAGTCCGTTTACACCAGAAAGGGAACTCCCATGGGAATTGGATGGGACTCAAATAGGACTCTATGAGACAACATTCGGAAGAACTGCCTTACATTTTATTAAGCGATGCATATAATTCTCCAAGCTCGCACATGCTTACTTACGAATAAAACTCAAGAACTTATGAAAGAACGATATGTTATTTATCTAAATGTAGTCCCTACCAAAGTTATCTTATAGTGCATCATCCTAATCTTCGAATGAAAAAATCCAAGTATGACGTTTTTAACCCCAACCCCCTATTTAAAGATAAGAAGTAATACAAATGGCACTCTGTAATGTGCATTTGACATAACAAGTGTACATATTTTATCTATTGCAATCAGACAAATCTTCTGGTTACTTTCTCTATATTGTACTCTCTTCAGTGTTTCTTTTTCCGGGACTTCTAACTCCATCTTTGTATTCGTTCACGTACTTTGACGCGAGTTTCGCCGGGAAAGGTCTTTTTCATGGCGCAATCTACTTATTAGTACATGGTTGTATAACACAGCACGCTTATTGACAACCAAATTCGCAATATAAATAGAATACATCTCAGGTTTGTTGTTAGTACCATTCCAATTAATGTTGGGACTGACACATCAATATATCATGGTATCCATGGTATGTCGGACGTATTCTTCGGTTGTGCTTCAGCCCACGTCCAGCGGATTTCAGCTATTAAATTCTTAATACAAAACAAACACGAACATACCATGTTATTGCACACCTCAGCCTTCCTTAATTTCTCCTGCAGCACCTGAAAGTTGGTAGGAATCATAGCTAGAATCATGAATAATAGTGCTTCTGCATGACCTGGAGCCTTCAGTCTAAGCCATAGACCATTCACTTTTGCTTGGAGGTTTTATTTTCCTTCTCCAGTTCCCGAATTTCTTTCACGATATGCTCGTGTGATTCCAAATTATTGAAATTACAATAAACAATGACATCCCAAGAAGTTTGGTATTGTCATATCTGGTAGGATAATACTTTTCGTGAGTCTTTATTGAATATCCTTTGTAGTGGAATCATGGAATTTATTTGAATGATTCTTTCCTTGCCCACATATATTGAGTACTAAACTGAGAGAGCTGCCTGAATGCCCATGCACGGAAGCTTTCAAGTGCGCACCAAACGCCCAAGCAGCAATTTCCGGACAGCAAAGTTAAGCATTTAATTACTATAGAAAATCTTCTGATTGACGTTAAACCTAAAAAGTGTAATCTGCTGAGAGTCAAATGCCAACGGAATGCAACCTAAAAGTTGACAGTTTAACTATGGAAGGAAAAAACACCATTTGTTTGGTTATTCTCTCAGCATTCAAGGTTGCGAACTCCTGTAAACTGTACAAGGTTAAAAAGAACACAAATCTGACAATAAGAGAGACGAGAATACTTAAAAACAGTGCAAAAAACTGGATGTTTGAGTGACAAGGGCCACAGTTCTTCCTGTGAAGGCTGAACTGGACTCTAACAACATGTAATGCATCGGGGCAACAAGATTGTCATCTTGGTTTCCCCTGCTAGTCGCCTGGGAATCATCCAACCAACCCATTTGAGTTCCACTTCGGTATTTTTAGGGGTGTAAAACAACACTAACAGGGAATGCTTAGAGACGATCAGGAAAAATGCAGCGGCAGCCCTATATAATATCTCAATAATAGAAGTTTCCATTGTTCATCAACTCCGAAAAATGTCCACATTTAGATGGATATGGTTTTCAATTTGTTTGATATATTCATGTGTATTTGAAGGTTGGTAATTTCTTCCTCGAGATACTTTCCCAGTCAACACAATGCTACACTCAAGAATCACTGTTTCGTCACTGAGAGCGTTTAACTGATCATGTATGAAAACCAGAAAATCGATGTTAAAATGGTTTATAGAAATTCAACCTACTATATTTACGTCTAAAATCCAATGTTTAGCATAAGAATTTGATCTAAATCAACATCTTATGCGGTTAAAAATTACAAAATTTTATTTGTGTCTCATATTAAAACAATAAATTCCCGAATACCGAAAAGCATTAGTCGGTATAAGTAGATTCTCAGGTAGAGATCCAAGCCAGTACACTTATTAAGTTAGAACAAGCTTAGGGTTTTGGCTGAATTCGACTCTCATTTAAATTATTCTTACAGTTCCCAGCGCTTCTGACTTTGTTTATATCCGTTAGGCTATCCAAAAAATATTGCATGATAAAATAGTGATTTGCTTACTGCTATTATGTTACGAAGGAAATAATAAATAGAATTAAGTTAAATAATCATGTATATCAGCTGATAATAAAGGATCATAGTTATTAATTTCTTTTAATTTATAGAAGGCGATCATTTTTCTAATTGTTCTACTCTTCGATTTTTTTCTCATCTCCTTGAGGTACTGATACCTCGATGGGAGCAATACCAGCCATGGCAATAAATCGTTTTAATGTAACTGCGATTGAATGTAAATTATACATTTAAAAATTATCTTTTTCATTTTTTTGAATTCATTAGTTACGACGTTATTCTGTTGGATACGAAGCAAAATTTATTGAAGGCATATAAAAGTCTCGGGGCCTCGGTTATATTTGGAGCTGAAGATTTCTGTTGGCCAGAGAAAAGTCTTGCGGTAAGTGAAAAAGTTTTATTAATTATCTTTACTAAATAGAGAAGTGTTTGCATATGGTTAAGTGAGAACGGAGTAACGGCATATGACTTGAACCATTTGGTTAAAAATTTGGTTTAAATTTCCATCGGTAATTTATTTTATTTATGGAGTTTGTAAGGTTTGTTTAAAAACACTTCTTTGGTTATTTGTGGCAATCATGGTTTGAACATTTGTGCGTACATCGTTAATGTAATTGCAATACATTTTCTTGAGATATTTTCATCATGGTTTTACTTGCCATGGTCATTTTTGCAACTAATTTCATCCATTTCTTTTAAGGGCTGACAGGTTTACTGCGATATACCACCAATGTGATATAGTTGTTATCCTTTTTGTGTCTCAAAAAAAAATCAATTATAGTAAACATTGTCTTAAAGCTTTAAAGGTCACTTAAGGCGTTTCTTTTCAATTTTAGGATGTTTATCCCACCGTCAAGCCCGGACAGAAACGATTCCTCAACTCTGGAGCTTTCATGGGGCCTGCCTCACATCTGTTCAAAATTGTATCAGCATTCGAAATTAAAGATGATGATGACGATCAACTTTACTACACAAATATATTCCTCAATTCAGAGATGCGCGTGAGTATACAATAAAGGGTTAATTTCAGTTTGCTTGCGATACAGAATAATACTGTTTGGTTTATAACTCCGTACAATCCCTCGTAAGGTCTCTCGTAAAATATTAGGCCCATTCATTCAGTTAACCCTCATCATCAAGTTATATTTAATCGCACACTCAATAATTTTCCCTGTTATTTACAAAGAATAAAACTAATCATGAATCCAAACTTCGCCGCTAACAAAACTGTTGTCGTATTATAACCTGACAGTCGAACTGAGCTATTCAGCGTTCGAATTTGCTTAAATTAAATGTTGAAAGAATTTTACAACATCAAAGTGATCCAAGCATAAATATAATACCAACCGAGTGTCTATCAAATAGTCATCGTTTATTTCGATCGTGTATTAGTGACAAGCAACTCTGGTACCCGGATCAATTAAGAATCTTTGTTTTATTGATTTTGCTTGGTTTGCTTCAGTAAGTTCCAAGGAGCACGGTTTTTACATTCAATATATGTGTATACAACCACCAAAAATCAAAAACAATTTACGGTGTTGTGTAAATCACAATGAGTAAAAAACAGAGTTTTTTCTTCAGTACAGAGCAGATATCGAGATAACTCTAGGGAGACAGGTGTGTCTTTCACGATTTATTGTACGATTATTTGAAGAAAGCTATCCTAATTGATAGACCCAACTTCATTTTAGTCAACTGCATTGCAATAAAAAACGATCATGAACCAAAGTATACTGCCAAAAATACTTGAGATCTGTTAGAAACAATGAACTATTAACTAAAGCCAGCCTTTTCCGAGATCAATTTCAAAAGAAAAGACCATATTGCAATACTGCACGATTTATGTCCAGGATGATTTCGCTGCATCTCAACGTGGTGCATACTGTAGAAAACACAATATTCATATAGGGATTTAGCATGACAACAAAGAAGAGTAAGATACAATGAAATAGACAAACATAAAATGGGGAGGGGGAAATGACTATATCATCAGGATAAAGAAAAACTAACATAAAGTTATTTTTGTTGGTTCCATCGGCTGATAGCAATCGCTTCTGCAAACCGTAGCAATCCTGCGATTCGTGACCTGTAGATAACCCGAAACGCTGTACTTCGGTCATTCTGGTGTTGCGTCATCAGAAGATGTTGAGCTATAGCTGAGGACGGAATCTTGTAGTTTAGACCGTTGTTTCTATGCCGCAGATTTGATCCCGATTGCGTTATCTGAATTTGCACCCAATTTGTAATATGATCAACCACCCGGTTACGTAATTGTCGCTCTGTTCTTCCCACGTAGGTCGCTCCGCACCCACATTGGAATTGACAAATCAGATCAGAGTTGGCGTAGAGAGGCAGACGTTCTTTTACCAGGTGTATGGGTATTCTAGTTGTCCGATAGACGATTTGGGGGTCAGCTGCATAGTAGGTTCGAGCAATTACCTATCTCAGTAGTTTTTTGAGCAAATAGATTACGTCATCACCTTTTAATTGGAGGCACAACCTGACTTGTAATTTTGGGGCTGACGCAATCGCTTCTTTTACAATTCTTGGTTTGCTGTGTTTACTAACGAACGCTTCGGGGTAAGCGTTTTCTGCTAACACCTCTAGAAGATTTTGTAGTTCTTGTTCAGTTTTATCCGCCTCGTTCCGTCAAATAGCTTTTGGACAAGACCACGTTTATAATTCAGGGGCACAAAGCTTTCGACGTATGAATATTGGCCTATCAAGGCCTCCTTCAGTAAACGGATCGGGCGATCGTTCCATCTTCTCTGCGCCTCATGCTGATGTCAAGGAAATTCGGTGTGTTGTTGGCTTCGGATTCCATTGTGAAGCGAATGTTTGGATTTAATCTATTAGGTTCATCCAGAACTACTGTAGTTTCTTCTAGGCTTTTCGTTATTACAAGGGCGTGTTTTCTGCAGTATGCACCATGTTGAGATGCAGCGAAATCGTCCTGAACATAAATCGTGCAGTATTGCAATATGGTCTTTTCTTTTGAAACTATTAACTAGTTGGAATTTTCAATACGATCTGTAATTTGTCTTTTCACAACAGTTTACAGTTACTTGATTCATGAGATTGGTAACTAATAATTATTGAAATAATAAACCATGTGCAAGTATTGCAATTAATTTCTCGAATTTAGCGCAGTTGTCAGGATTAATGGAATGCACATGGTGTTTTACTAATGCAGTTACGGTATTCCTACCAATACTATAATTTCAAACTAATGGATTATTTCACGTTGGTATGTAGTCTACAACAGTTTAGAATGTGCACGGCAATTTTACTTCAAATAACTTGTCGCAATAACTTGTCTTCGAGAATAGGGAATCGACTTGAGTATATTGATAACAAAACAAGTAACAGAATCACTCCTTTTGGGATAAACATGGGCACCTGTTTTACAATACTGTTATGTTCATTCTATCAAGGGTGAAACAATTGAAAGCAACGACAGAAGAGTTTTGCGAGCAGATTTCAGGAAATTCCTATCGTTTTTTGTTCGATCGAGCGTGAACATGTTCCGGTATTCTGTAAGCCATGAATAAGAAAATCACTCTAACCGGAGAATAGGAGAAAAACTTAGCAACATAAGCTCCTAAAGAGTTAGAATATATCATAATGATAGGCATATAGTGGAAACATGTAATCAAAACAGTTCATTGAAAATTTATTTGTGGTGGCGGTGACGCTATTATGGATCTTTTTGTTATACATTTTTTGGCTGTCCCTTACGTATACCGATGCACCAGTATATTCAAGATCCCAAAGTAGTCATATTACGATTGAAAAATTCAAAATGTTGGCTTTATCACCACTGCCTTCTATTTAGCAATCAATATAATAGAGCCCTTTTATTTTTTACTTCTTATTACATCTGCAGCAGGTATATTAACTTGCAAATGTATTTTAATACAATGATAGTTTGAGTTTTTGTTTACAAGGATGTGAGGAACAAAAGGAGGCTGAACTGTTATGCTGCTGTATCCAACCATCAATCACAACTCAGAGTTTCTAACCAGAGAACTTCAGAACCATTTGCTCCCAAACTTGGAACTCGAAAGGAGCATAAATGCGGAAGTGCTTCCGTCAGCCTCAGTTGGAGTTAGTAGATAATATGCGGTCTCGTTTCGTTTCTGTCGGGTCGAGAGGAATGTCGGATTATCTCTAAAGACAAAATCTGAACACACATTAATTTTCAATTCTGGTCAGCTCCGGTGTGACCTAATTGTCATAGTGAATGGTGGGCGCGTACTAACGCTGAGCTCAAATGAGAGCTAAACTCACGTTTAATGCTTCCCGAGTGTACAGCTGGCTGTATGAACTGAGTATTGTGTGTGAACATGGAATCTGAAGGATGGTCAGTTCAAATCAGAACTGATAAGTCGGGAAAAGCTGTCAGTTTTAGACGTTTAAGTATCTTACCTCACTTTGTACTTGATAACCGAAGCTTCAGTTTTACAGCCCTTTCAAAACCCTATCGTTGAACTCCGCAAGATATCAACTGTTTAGTAAGGAGATATATTTCATTGATATTGCAATATCTTAAGTAGATCGGTGCATTGAAGAATTGCAATTGTTTGAATAATTTCCACCATCTGCAAGAGGCAAAATTAGAACACTCCCATTCTATTATATATCTAATATTCTAGTGGAAAAAAACTAACTTGGTAAGCTAACACCCGTTCGTGTAATAGATTATTAAACAACTGTTTTTATCACGACGTTTTGCTTTTCTTGGTTTCCTCTAACCAAAATTGGTGAGCAAATGATGAAGCTGTTCGTGGCAAAGTTGGAATCGTTCCTAAGTGTATGACATTTTATTTTTGTCCACCTTAGTGATTGATCTCATTTCAAAATGGCCGGAAACGTCACTTGTGTCGGATTATTTTTTATTCCGTTCATTTACAGAAAGAACTGGACATAAAATTGGACCATTCTGCGACATTGATCCAGAATCTGAATGGTGCATTGGGTGTGTGATTTCGTTTTTCTTGTCAATTTTCGAATTTTTCAAATGTTTAATTTATTTACATTCTATCATAACATACTTAGCAGAACTCATATACGGATCCGCATACGATTGCATCTTCTTAATGCGGGAACATCAATTGAAAAGAAAAAGGTTATGTTTGGGAAACTGCAATTCCCATAAAACAAAATGTTCTTTACCATCTCCATCATCAACTCGTCTAGGTTAATAGTTTTGATAAGCAAATGAGTTTTTGTTGACTTTCTACCCATTTTTAAAAATAAGAATTAAGTTTAAATAACAGAACTACCAAAGCATGTGTTGGATTCCTACGATAACTGTGCTTTGATGCAGATTCCATTATTGCAGTAGTAAATTTGTTTTGTTTTTTTCTGCGATTTCCAGACGAAGTAGAAGTGCGATTCACGGACGAAACGGGATATTTGTTCAACACCAAAACAAATACAAGACCTATTATTGTGCACGGAAATGGACCAACTAAGGTAAACAGATGGGCCAGCAGATGTTTTCACTGACAGCATATATTGTGCTTTGTATAGGTACAAGTTTCACGTCGCATTTCAAATAGTATTACTTATATCATTGATGCTTGCATTTTCTATTGTCAAATGAATTTCAAATAGAACAAAGAGTGGCGAACAGCTCGTTTTTAGTGATTCGTAGTCGTGCCAAATACATCACAAAAAATATTACGCCGTTTATGTATAACTAAGTATTCAACCATCAAAAAACAAACAATTGTTTTGGGCAGGGGAAAATAACCTCATAGATTATCTGGAGCCAATTTCGTCTTAGGACCAGATGTGGAATTCTGAATGATCACAATTGTTAGGTCATCCGATCGCTAGGATCACTCGGAATATGTGGTGTGTAGGGGGTGGGCCAGGGGAGCTTAAGTGCCTGCACAAATTGTCTTTGGGCACACAGAGGGTTTTTGTGCAGACAACCTCATACCGCTTCCGCTGTGGCCAGTATACGAGCTTGTTCTCTACTATTTGTTCTATTTGAAATGTTCGCTGTGTGACTGTTTAGACAATTAAAGCAAGTCAAATGAATTTCTTCCCCCCTCCCTATTCGCTTGGCTCGCATTCCAAAGGAGACAAAGTCTCCGAGGATGTGTCAATCGCGTTTCCAAGGGGTCAAGACCATATATTTTGCTATTTACATCAACTTCCAATGTACGGAAAACTTTTGTCAGTCAATCAATGTGCAACAAATACGAATGATAAAAATCTGTTTTTTTTTGGAAACTGATTTGAAAAACCCTATTGATCTATTATCAGTCAATTGAAATTACACAGTCACTTTATGCACCTTAAGTAGATTAGGTACGTGATTCAATACTACACAATGAACTTGTCAGCCTCACTCCGGCTACAAAACAGCAAAGCTAATTATCCTTCCCACTTTCATTATTGGGGTGGTCATTCGCGATTCACATTCACTGCTTTCAGCCCCACAGAGACAGATCTGTACATCCATGGTTTCTTACCCTTGTATTCTAAATTATATCTGTCAATCTTGTGAGGATACATTCAAACCTTGCGGGTTCTGGCTCTATTCCTCGATACACTTGATGAGTCTATTGAAAGGAAACATCGTGATGAATAGGACACCCCCCATCACGGAATCTCTGTCGAATCCCAATCAAAACCTTAATATTAACTCATCTCTATACACACCAGCATTCACACACAGAATCAGTAACGATCCATGCGTTGTTAGCCTTTTAAATAACCGCACGACTGTTGTCATTTACATTAGGAAAAGACTCGTGCTTTGGAAATTTACTTACACCTTGATGTCACGTTAATTTCCTGTTTCAAAAATTTTCCCTCTCTGTTTTGAATAAATAACTAAGCAGACAACTTTCCGGAAGAGTGAACAGATAATTTAAGGCCAGTCATGTAAACAAAGCAAAAGGGAAAGTTGGGCGGCTGTGACAGGATTCGAACACAACCTTCAGGGTCGAGTGATTGTCACCCTAATCGCTGTTCATATCTATCCATTGTATAAATTCATAAGCTTCGGAGAAATAACCTTTTGAATAAATAAAACGTAGCTCAACTTAAAATTATTCGATAAACGTACTAGAATCTGATACAACTGTGGTCGTCTTTGGTCGTTGTGGGTAGAAGTTAATGACAAATTCTTTCGGCTCGCTCCAAAGTTACATGGAATAAGTGGATCACATCTCCCTTAATGCGTGTGCGAGCGAAACATTAGCATTTTCGATGGTTCTAGTATGTTCGGTTTAAAAAGATTTTTGCAATGCTGTGACATGACTTCATTTATCGAGCTGTATGCTGTAATTCGCAGCTCCTGTGGACCATTGCTATGTGTACCACTATGTTTTTATGCCGCTCATCTATTCTTCAGAATAACACACCTATCGGGCTTTAGTTTTATTTGTTCATGTTTGAATGCGAGTGGAATTCTTGGTTGTGCTTTTCTTATGTTGGCCACTATATCTGATATTTATTGAGCTTAACCTAAAGCAACTCAGTTTTCAAACATCACTATGAACTATCTTTCGAAATAGGGCACAAAATCAGTCAGGTAATAGATATGTTCCATTTGGATGTTCGTTCGAATATACTGGTGTAGAAGCATAGATGATAGACGGACGCAATAGATTGTGATTTGAGAAAAACACATTTCCAGATGTTTGGAAACACTATTGCATATGATTCAGTGCCACGTCGACGATTGCTTTTCTCAGCACCACATTTGCAACACGTACTGAGCGAAAGCCGACCCCAAAGCGGTCCTGTTTATTCCAGTGAATTGTGGACGTGTTGGTTGCCTGTGCCACGTCGAAAACATTGTAGACACATGCGGAACGTGTGCTTCGAACCTCATTATCGATTTCCTAAGGATAGCATCTGTGCTGCTGGACGAGGCAGACCAGTGATGTTCGTCTTCCTGCCCAGTATTGCTGCACAAGCGCACCCACACACACTGACCCATTCAAAAGACCTCAGACGCGTGTAGGCCGGTGGGCACACCAAACTGCACAAATGTTTTCCTTTTGTGGTAGTGAACGTGCAGTCTTCCCAACAAAACAGGCAATAATGTGTTCATCCCTTGCATGGAACAGTGTGGCTGGCATCTAAGGAGTGAGTGAATTCAGTAACAGTCCGCCCGGTACTGATTTTATTGCACGTGGCTTTAGGTTAATCAATGAATTAAATCGATGGGTTGGTAAATCTTCCTTTCCACACTGGAACGAAATATCGCGAAACCAATGATTATACAGTGCTGTATTGGTCCGTATCATTAGCGAAGGGGCAGTATTAATAGGACAATAGGGATAGGCATAAATCTGAGTGATGGCGTGAAATCCCATATCGTATCCAAATGCACCTGAGGTAAAAGCAGTATTGTGATAAGGATCAAACTGGGTTTTTTACCCATTCAGTCAACCTTATGACTGTAATGTCCATGAGTGACCGTAAAACTCCTGGTCAAAAATTGAGAAAATTGTTTCGGTCTCACAAGGGCTTACGTTTGTCAATCAGATAGATGTATTCGGTGATAAGCGGTAGAACGTTGAAAAAAGATCAAATTCATTGAATGAAGACGCTTAATCAAAATTGAACAGTGGAACACAGTAATACTAACTGGATCGAGCGTCGCTGGAATTCCAAAGTGGAAAAGCTAAGCATGAAAATCAGCGGGATACATAGATAGTTATCACTTCCCATGTGCTTAGGCGTAGTTTAAACTGACTTGCTGAGAAATAGCAATAAAGCGATATTTTTTATTGGTTTGGCATCACACCCTTTGGTATAGCTATGTTCAGAAATTTATGAAGAAACGTGACACGATTTTAAAAACTATATCACTCAGTGTGTAATATTTTCATTTAGTCTAATTTTTTTCAATCAATCGGTTACCAGACAGTTAGTATCCGAAATCGGAATGAATGAATCGCAGTTTTCACTTGAATGTACCTGTATACTTGATGATATCTGGGCCTTATACCATCTGGTGACTTCTATCTCGCTTCTAACACCCACAAACAGCAACTGATTCCGACATGCTAGCGAAAAATAGCGTCAGAAATCTTTATGTCTTTCAGTGAAAATGCGTCCACATTTACTCGTGATGTGAAAATTCTCATGTTGTTCGGTGTTCTCGTAGCATTCTTCATTCTGAAAGTTGACAATTCTTTTGTTTTTCTATTTTGCAATATCCTTTTACATTGTGCTCTGTTCAGGTGGAGCTTAACTCTCTAAGCAATTATTTGGCCTATACATGGACGCCCAAAATGGGTTGCCAGCATTGCGATGAAACAGCTATCACAATGGATGGACCAGAGGTGAGCGGTGCAAACGTATGCATGTTTCAATCACAGTTTCCTCTGCTTTACGATAATTCCTAACAAATGGTGCTTTAAGACTGCTTGTATATCAAAGTGGTTTCTGATTGTCGAACAAGAGCAAGCCTGAAACCATCTTTCATGTAACCTAGACGTTTGTAAGTTGTGAATATCCCGAAGAAGCTGTATCTCTCTGATATTTCTGTAACAGGTTCTAAGTAATGAGCATAATTTACTTGCTTTAAAAGCTCATCTGAGTAAAACTTTCACGTAAAATCTGGCAGCGAAATATTCTGCTGTAACAGAATAATTAATCTCTGGTGAACGAATTTCACGAACCGAAGAAATCAATTACAACATAAAAAGACCCATTAAACAGGATAGACCGTTTCCCTGAAATGGATTTAGGGTTCAGTTCAATTAACCCACAGAACGATTGAAGCCATACTCGGCTATTGATTTATTATGTTTACTGTTTTATTTTTTTATTTTTGCCTCCTTTTGATGAATAGACAAAGATACATTTTTTTGGAATGCGAGGCGGTCACTCAAAGGGTAAAGCCATGCATCAAATAATGGTATTGTTGAAGGGAAAATTGGAGGGTGATGGAAAAATAAATGCAACTTTCTCCCTGGTCGGAAAACGTTTTCTGCCTGGATTTCTTGCAGCATAAGAGCTTGTACCGAATTGCGATAGTCGGCCAACCCTTTAGAGGGGTTTCACAACGCAATATGGAGCGTAGCTTTGCAAACTCAGAAAACATTCCTCTTGTCTGACATTTTAATTGATGCATCGGGTATTCTCATGAACGAATCCTTTCTCGAAAACTGGAGGACAACATTCCTTTATTTGACGAGACCCTATAACATTGTGATTTGTCATCCTAGACAGAGGTGATTTCTGCAAGGATGAAATCGTAGACGGTTCACAAATGGAAGTCTGATTTTGGATTAAAAAGTTGGGATAGGATTTTCCAAGACTAACCCTTATTTGAAACAAATTCCTACACTGTATCCAACCAAAAAGCCTAATTACTTTTCCTATTTCGCTTAGGTGATCGTAGACAGTGATGGTGACTCAAAAACTATTTCAAATTTATAAAATTTACGAGCTGGCGCAATGGAGACATGTGTCAATGAAACTAGGGTGCACAATCGCCTCAGGCGACTCAACGTTCATGCACTTTACTAAAAGAACTAATCTCAGTTATTGCACTTTAGTTTCCAGCGCTTCGGTCTTAGTGTGTGCGATGATGGGACGTCCAGTGTGTGCGTAAGCGTGCCCAGAGTTCCCAGTGAAATGTGAATCCCGATGCTGCAATTCGTCGCAGCAAACCATTTGGAAACACTCACCTTTTGACCATCATCAACCAATAGTCCTTCATTTATTGCTGTGATTGTTGCACTTCAAGCGTGTGTCCATTTCTCAAATGAAGTCAGATATCTCTTGAAAGGTAGATGAATGAATTGAATGGCATTCTCCTGGCTTATTTTCGAAGGAGTCATTACTGTTTTCAGATAGGAGAAAGCACATGCAGTCTTTGTTACAAGGAGTAGTAGAATTCGCCCTGGGAGTACAAGTACCAGTGCCGGGACGGGGTGAGTTGCTCATTCAGAGAACAGCATCGTATAAATAACATAACGTAGAACAAAACGTCTCATCTGGAACAGGTCATCATAATTCCGACAAGCAGGCAGGATAATTGATGGAACATTCGGACGGCAGGTGTACATTTTATTTGGTTGCAATTCTGAACACCATAGTTACATCCAGGAGGTCTTGTTCATTTTTGACCGTTATGAGAAACCACCAATCACATCCTTCTGCTTAATCAAAACATACTACTCACAATCGTAAGTAGCTGTACCCAGCTTCATTAACATAGGAATAACGCGTCAGAGGAGTACCGGATACATATGACGGAAAAGTGGCGATTCCGATCGAGTGTTTCGGGGAGATTTTTCTCCAGTCGTTCCTGAGCGACTTATGATAAAATTGATCTTGGTGTCGAGTTTGTAAACGTGCGACACGTACAAAATGAAAGACTTTCACAGCATATGAAAACTGATTCAGCATAGCAACGTTGCACAATTCATGTCCCGGACGATTTCGCTGCATGTTAACAGGTGCCTAATACAGACATATACAACGTTTAAATAGGGTTTGGGACTGGATTAAAAAATAAACAAATGTAAATGGGGTAAGCGTCACCAAGGCAAAGCCAAGGTGATCAATAAGCACTTTTGTTGACACATTTAGTTTCCATCGCATGATTGAAATCGCCTCAGTGATCTTGAACACTCGAGATACTTTCACGCGATCAACGAGGTGCTGCGTCATCAACAAGTACTTGGCAATCGATGAGCATGGTGTTTTGTAAGCACTGTCCATACCGGTTACCGGCTGTATGGATTTTGGCATGACAACCTTGCATTGAACCCAGTTTGGAATGTGCCCTAAAACCCGATTACGTAATTGCCTTTCTGTTCTACCTGTGCAAGTGTCACCGGACCCACATTGGAATTGATAGATTACGTCTGAGTTGACGTACAGAGGTAGGTGTTCTTTAACCGGGGGATGGGTATGCTCCTCGTCCTGTTTCTTAATTCTGGGTTTGGCTGCGTAATAAGTCGGGTTGACAACCGATCGTAACCGTTGATGGAATAGATTAGTTACATCGTCACATGTGAATGGGAGACAAATGGTGATCTCTAATCTGGATGCTGAAGTAACAACGAACTTTTCAATCTTCAACCTACTGAGTCTGTCAACAAACAAACCGTGCAATGTTGCTGTATTGGCTAATCTTTTCAAATTGGGGACAGGGAAAGCTTCGTGAAATCTCGTCTGCTAAAGTCGACTATCCGATCCTTGGATAACCTAGTCCAGTTAAATGCAAAATTCCTGTGATTCGTGGAATAATCTAAATGATTCTATGATTCTACGCGATTGGACCTCCCCCAAATCAAATACTGCAACTAGACTGGCGAGATGGGGAAGGGGTAGTAACACCTATAGTCTGTTCAGGTACGAAAGAGCACTGTGGAATCAGAGAAAAAGTTTTGCTCAATAATACGTCAAATTTGTCGACAGGCACTAATAACTAGTACCGTTGTAGAGTATTGAAACCCACCGGGTCCACAGTGACAACAATTTGTGTCCATCATCGTAGCTGAATTCTTTCGCCTACTAAGTGACAGTGACCAGTGTGTTGGTCAACAGTCCAGCATGAAATGATTTATTGGGTTTAGGATACACGTTGCACTCCTTCATGATATATCACCAAATACAGGTTGTCATATCGAGCTCCAAACTGTGTTGGACTCAGCACGAGAAAATCAAAGCGATCCACTCAGTATCTCGATTTGCCGTTCAGTGTATTAGTGCGAGGCAAGCCGAACTCAGCAATTTACAAATCGAGTTCCAATGTAAATTAATATTTGGTGACTGGGTTAAATTCAACATCCACAGAGTCGATTCTGAGACCAATCTTCGATTTGTTTTATGTCGATTTTGTTGAAGTTGGAAGCATTTCGCCCATATGTATTACCTTGGAACCAGTGCAATGATCTGTTTAGGCTCCCTTATCCCAAAATTACTCATTGAGAATGTTATGAACAAATTCGCATACCCAGTGAATGCAGTATCAGAGAAATGGCTACGCACTTCAAGTGAAAGCTAAGAATATTGAACAATTATCCCCGAGGTTTCCTATTGCAACAGTCGTTGTTAGACCACCTGGGCTGCTCGACAGTTAATTACTAGTGCTTATACCTGCACGTAAGGGCAGTAACAAAATGCTGTTTCAAATATTACGGAAGACGATCACTCGGTGATACCTCTATTATTCGCCTTCTATGATGCATATGTAAATACAGGTATTGACCAAACTCGTGCACCATCCTGATTTTCATCACCTTTGTTCCTCTCAATGCCTAGTCTTTTCAGTCTCATTCACGGTATCGAATATGATATTGTCCCTCATCACACGCAACGTATCTGATATAACACCCATTTATGCCTTTGCTTCTATTAGCCACGCCATCAAAATGTACGATTTCTCGATTTTGACGATGATTGTGGGGGGGGAACAGTTGTAAAATAACAGTCACAGTAGAAAACATAACTAGAATGTATTTATTAAAGTGACTCGTGCACTTCATACAGGTAGCGTACTTTCATCTCATCCATGTTTCACTTGCCTTTCATTTTTGAGCACTGGAGGCGGTAGCTTTATCATGGAATCAACCAAGTTGACCACCAAACAGAATTTGCCAGTTTCCTCTGATACACACCGCATCCTAACTACTGACGACCAATATCGGGGCAGCTAACTTATTCCTGATACATGGAAAAGGTTTTGATTAAATTAAAATCCCAACTGCTGCGCGGTAACTGAATGAATTAGACATTGAAACTGACCTCTCCAGAAACTGCATGTGAAAAAATATTTAATTAGGTCTAATGGTTTTCTACTACCAACCTCAAGCGAGAATATATACCAAACTTCATCTGTGAAAAAATATAACTTCCGCGAATGCATTTCAAGATTAGCAGTTACCGAAAACATTAGTATCAGTGCAATAAATTTTGCGATATCCACATTGGAGTTTTCAGGAGACCAGTAAGAAGGCACTCAGTATTTACTTCCCTTCCAACTCGTTAGGTAGGGTCAACATTTACTTATTTTGACAGGTAAAACGAAATTCATTAGAAAATTAGCTCAGTAGATCAGCTTTCACCGCATGCTGAATTACTCGTTGGCCAACGGTGAGATAAAACCACTGTCAAACGGACGGGTGACGCGATTTGAATTTGTTGGTAAAATCAACAGATGTTCTGCTTTGTAAGGTGTTTCATAACGGCTTTGTATCACGTGACCTTAGCTGCACTTTAAAATGAACCATCATTAAAAACGGAAGCGTAAGGAAAAACGGTTAATCAGCCACGACTATGGTCCAGATTGGTTTGATGCAAGTCTTCTCAATGCACACAATGAAGCACTTCCACAATACAGTAACTGAGTCATCGGATTGATATGCCTCTCGATTAAGTTGTCTCTAGGCTTCAATTATATGCCAAAACCTTTTGAATGTTTCATCAGATTTGGGTATGGTGACACTATAAGACGCTTATTCAAGGAGCCACAACCTCATGTTCCCCTTTCGAAGGTCAACTTGTATGTTTCTTGGACTATATTTTCAGTTCTTTCAGTATTTGGGATAAGACGTTTGTAGCTTTTAGCCAAATAATTTATCAATTTATTTAAATTAGACTATTTTCAGTTATTTGCTTATTTGTTATACACTAAATGAAAAGAGATGAGCAATTTAGAATACGTTTGCTCAATTTAATAAACAATTTCATGAATTCCCATGCTGCTTTGCATTAAGTATTTTCGAAATCTGAGTTGTAACTTTCGAACTACTACAAATATTATCGCAACATTCAAGGTCGCCCTAATTCAAACGATGATAGAAGAGAATTAAGAACATAGAAGTGGGAGATAAAATCGGGAAGCAATACACTTTATTCATAGTCATCGATATACAAGTATGATGTTGGTGACTGAAATCTATTTCCAAAATGAGAATGATGTTGCACGAGTTTGAGCAAGACCTGTATATATGGTGAGTTTTTCACAACACCTCATTATTTACTTGTCCACTGTCGTGCATTGTGCCTTTCCACTTCAGAACTACCCGGTGATTCAAATGAGTTTCTTCATAGAGCACCCAACGCCGTTCTTGGACGTCTTTTTCGAACGAATCGCAGCTTTAAACTACCCAAAAAACAGAATGCACCTCACGGGTCATGTTCGGGTAAGTTCCATCGCCAGAAACTTACAGAAAGAAATACAGACACTTCATCCGTAGACAGAGCGTCTGCTGTTGCATTTGGTAGTTCATAAGAAATCTATTTTAAATGCAAAGCCTTTACAAAAATTATTTTGTTTCCTGATAATCATTATACATGGGCTAATGCTGTCGGTTCCGTTTGAGCAACTTACAACCCTTAGCTTTCGGAATTCGGTTTTTTGTTGAAGGAAAGAATAAGCAACGGCAAATGGCATGCTACGAAGACAAATTTATGGTAAAATATCAGCAGACGAGTAGCAAAAACTATTATATTAATTTGCTTATTTTGTCTGACCTCTTGGAACTGGGAGACATCAGGTGATGAACACTGTTGACTATCATACATTAGTAACTTACAAGTCTGCTCTAAGGAATCTACAGAATTGTTCTCTCAAACTAATTATTCATTCATATTTTGTCAAAAAAAGCCACCCCTATTCCCATCTGGTAAATTCAAGATTCATGTAAGCCATGCAAATTGATTAACAACGTACTTTGAATCATGTTTATCAAAAGCAAGAGAGTGAAGAGCACGTTTTTCCATTTTTGTTTAAAGTCTACCACTAGTTTTCTTATACAGTGCCACTGTATCGTACCACTCTCAATTCCTTGATTAGCCCCTTATATGAAAAAGTGAGTTGCCCATGGATCGTTTTGCTTTGTTGAGTCTTGATTTTTTCAAGCTTCCATCATGTTTGTCACTTTTGACATCTCTTTGTAGAAATCGGCTGATTTCCAGAAGAAGATAGCACAAAATTTCACTGAAAACTACGGTGCACAGTACCGTTCAGTTACCTGGTTTGATTCACTTGAAGACGAAGGCGAAGGCAACGCACGCTATCGTGCTATGTGAGTCTCCAAGTTGGATGTAAACAAATACCTAATGGCAGATGGTAATGCGCATTTCGATGTTTCATTTCCGAAGTCATCGCTCTGTAGATATTTTACAATTCTAATTAGCCTACTACCATCTAGCAGTAGTGTAGTATATGGTATCATTTTTCTCTACCGAACGAACTGAATATACAGTACGGACGACGAAGTACCCGTTTTGTTGGTCACAAGCCGCCAAAATTCCATCGCACAGATCTCTAATTGTTACTTATTGCATCTGCAGCAGTTTACAGGGGAGATATCGACTTATCTCTTTTACAAATCAGGGTCTCGAAGATACCGATACGCAGCCATATAACCATCAGTTTCCAGTTCAGTTTAGTTTTTGAAACTATTAAGCGTGTACTTTCGTATGGCACTTTTGGTCTCAAGCAGGAACAGTGTCCATACTGCTTATAATACGAGTCTCAGTAAATGTGAACAAGGACAATAATTCATAGATTCCTCCAATTCTTGGCGGGGTTCACCTGTCTAATGATCCACCATCTGTTTATTCAGGACACACTGCCTCGATATGGAAGAATGCCAATTTATGTTTTCCATCGACGCTATTGTCCAATTGACTGACGCGAACACTTTGGAACACCTGGTTCGCGCAAACCGATCTTTCTTGGCACCAATGGTGACACGCAGAGAGAAATTGTGGTCCAACTTTTGGGGAGCGTTATCCAAAGGAGGCTATTACGCGCGGTCCGATGACTACGTAGAGATTGTGGAAGGAACAAGAAAGTAAGTGATTTGGGTCGCGTGACTTTCCATTCGTCCTTTGTTAGATGATTTTAAATGCACGGATATATCGCGATGTAGATGCCTCAGCTCGAAAAATCTCAATCAATTCAATAATATTCATTAAATCTTGTTTATTTTTTGCACAGGGGAGTATGGAACGTTCCTTTAATACGCGATGTGTATTTGCTTTCGCGCAAGGCAGTACAACATATAATGGATAAACAGCTGATATCTGCAACAGAAGTTGAAATGGAATTGTGCCGAATTGCAAGAGAAAAGGTAATTAATA